TTACGCCCATTCAAGGAGATCCTTAAAAAGCCTCCTGAGTGAAAGCTTGTGAGATGTATATAAACCCAGTTGCCTCTGCACAGATATACTAGAACACACATACACCTCATTTTTTGAGCTTTAGGCCACATCTATGATGAGAATTCATGTGCCTCAATGGGTTCTCTCTGGGTACTCCGGCTTCCTCCCTCAGTCCAAAGACATGCAGCTTAGGTTGATTAGTGACTCTAAATTGCCCATTGGAGTGAGTATGAGTGTGATAGACTGACAAACTTTCCAGGGTGGATCCCGCCTCTCTCACAGTGTCAGCTGGAATTGGCTCCATCCACCGAAACCCTATTCAAGATAAGCGGTATCGATAATGGATGGATGGATAATAACTTGTATTTATAAAATGCTTTTCAAGAAACAAAGTCCCCATGCCTGCTTATTTTGCTCGTTCCCAGCCATTTAATGTTTAATCTTACGTACCTCTACATTAGCTTGGCATCCCTCATAATTCCAAATAGTTTGCAACTGTTTCAGAATCAGAGCCAAAAAGCCTCTTCCTTAAAACAAGAGGGTAGTTAATGAACGAGCACAACTCCTGCTGCCGGTATTGTGTCACAAGTGGACAGCATAAAGAACCACAACAGCATTAATTAACTGCCATAATGCAGACATAGTAACTTCTACAGCCTTACAACAATTCTCTGTAATGCTACAGAAACAAGGCATTAACAGACATGCAACATGTGTTTTTTAAAACTTACTGTTACGTCCCACCGAGTATTGGAAACATCATTCCCTTTCAAGTAGCTCCAAGGTGGGTAAATCCAACTGGTGGTGTGTCTTCTCACACACGACCACATACAGTCCCAAAGTAGTGAAATTATTTCCAACAGATATCATAGCACCTACAATAACATCATGGATCGTTAACCAGCAACACATCACATGCAGCAGACACATGGTCCTCAAGCAGTCAAAACAAACACGTGCTGTGCTACGGGGGAATCCAGCGTTGATGAGCTGATCAGTCACCGCTGCCGAGGGCTTCACAGACTGGCTGCATATAGGTTAAACCCAGTCAGGTAAAACAGTGAGTCCCTGCACAGGAACATTTCCAGATGTGCAGTAACCTCTGGCCCTGTATTTTTCTCCACATCCTCTGGTCACAGTGCAGCAGCAGGAGGGAAAATATATCCACATACCAGGTACAATTGAAAAATTCTGCTTTTACAATGGCACAGGTGGATGTCAGGCAGGCTCACATGAACATGCAATGGCTTGGAGATTATGCCCATTCAAGAAAAAATCCTTAAACTTTCAAGTAGTACTTTATTTATGAGAAAAAAAGTCTCATGAGCGAGAGATTGCGGGATGTGTATAAGCCCAGATGGTTTTGCATAGAAATACTAGAACGTACGTACAAGTTATTCTTTGAGCTTTAGGTCACGTCTGTGATGAGAATTCATCGTATATAAGTCAAAACACAAGGAAAAGCTTGGGCAATGGGCCCTTTAAAATTTTTACACATAAGAAAAATACAAACTTGTTAAAAACCCACTACATGTACAATACAAAGCAGGGAACAATAAATCTATAAGCAGTTCTGGAAAAATGAGTTCTGAGGAGTTGTTTTAATGAGGACAGGTTAATGCAGTCACAGATATGATTTGGAAGAGAGTTCTAAAGCAGGGGTGGAAAAACTACGGCTCGCGGGCCACATCCGACCCGTTAACCTGATTTTGCAGAGCCAGGGCTACTCTTAGTTATTACTCTGCTACTGCTCTGAACCCATCTGCAACAATGAGTGGGCCAAAGAAAAGAAAAGTCGACAGTGAGTGCTGAGTGTTCAATAAGGAATGGACAACTAAATATTTTTTTTACTGAAGTCCAGTCAAAGGCTGTATGTCTTATTTGCCAAGAAACCGTTGCGGTTTTAAAGGAATACAACATCAGCCGTCACTTTTCTACCAAGCATGCTAATTATGCTAACAAGCAGTCAACGCAAGAACGGACGGCTACTGCTCAGAGGCTGGCAGCTAGTTTGCAGGCTCAGCAAAACACCTTTATCCAACAAACTGCCATCCAAGCACAAAGGCAGGTTATTTGCTGGCATTTAAATTAGCAAAGACCAGTGTTGGACTTAACCGTCCTGCATGTTCGTTTCTGAGGAAGAGTCAAAGTCAGAACAACCTTTAAGATATTTATTACAATGTTAAGAAAAAGCAATTACAGCGCACTCTGGGTTCCACTATTCTGAAGCCCTTTCCAAACAACACAAGTGTGGCTCTATCTTTCTTCAGAAAAGAGGAGCCCCTATCCTTTCTGAACCCAGTAATTAATACAATTTTGAAATGTGTAATGTGGGTTGATCTGGTGCCTCTCATGCTGTTCCATTGGTCCTTCAGTCCGTCCGTCCTCTCTGGTCCAATCGTCCAAGGCAGCGCCCTAGAAGGGGGAAGAAATCCTACACTGCCTGAATTCCTACATACACACTCACTTCTTCCTTTGTTTTCAACTAACTGATCCATATTAGGCATTGCTTTCCGTTTCACTAATTAAAACTATCCTGCCTGTGTGTGTGTGCATAATGTTTTTACCTTTGAAGCTTTCTCCCCCACAAGCCTCCAGATCTAATCTCTGTTTCAAAGACAGCAGGTGTCATGTATTGAGCATGTGGGTTGTACTGACATCTATTCGGGTAGTTGGGCACTGTGTTGTGACCTGGATGAAAAGATATAAAATGGCCAGAATAAATCAGTACTGAACGGCACATTCGGCTCCGATAGTTCTTGTTGTGTTTAGTATAATTTGACGAAAGACTACTGATACACAACAGCAGGTATTTTGTGTCCTGAGAGCAAGAACAAATTTGAAAAAATTAGCTTATTATGCAGGACTCGCTGTGTTGAGCTAATTGACGAAGACTTAGCTAGCAAGCTAAACAAAAAAGCGGAGTCATTTACATTATATTCCTTGGCACTAGATGAAAATAATGACATAAAGGACACCGCTCAGCTTTTAATTTTTATCAGAGGGATTAATGACAATTTTGAGAGGCACAAGCTACCTTGGAGTACGCTTGCCAACGTTACCACAGATGGATCAACAAATCTGACTGGAAAAAATGTCGGGCTGCTCAAAAGAATCCAGGAGAGGGTGAAAGAGGACAACCCTAAGCAGGAGATAATTTTCCTACACTGCATAATCCACCAGGAAGCACTGTGTAAATCTGAATTGCAGCTTGACCACGTAGTGAAGACAGTTGTAAAGCTTGTTAACTTTATTTGAGCATCGTCAGTTTATTAAGTTTCTTGAAGAAACTGACGCTGATCACCAGGACTTGCTTTATCACTCTAATGTCCGCTGGTTAAGTTTGGGGAACGTATGTCAACGAGTGTGGGAGCTCAAACAGGAGATTAGCCCATTTTTGGAGCTACTTGAGAAAGCTGACAATTTTCCTGAGCTGAGTGACACAGATTGGCTTTGTGATTTAGCTTTTGCTGGGGACATACTGACACATATGAATGAGCTGAGCGAGAAGCTACAAGGGAAAGATCAGTTTGTGCACGAAATGTTCACAAACGTCAGAGCCTTCAAAACCAAGTTAGCTTTATTCTCAAAGCAAATGTCAAATAAGTCATTCGCTCATTTCCCCACATTGGCTGAAAGAGGCCCCTCGACATGTGAACAAATACAGGAAATCGCTGGACGACCTGCACGGAGAATTCTGCCATCGGTTCTCCGATTTTGGAAAAATTGACAAGTCACTTCAGTTGGTGTCATGTCCCTTCACACAAGACCCTGAAATGGCGCCACAGGAGTTGCAGTTGGAACTGATTGATCTCCAATGTGACACTGTCTTAAAGGAGAAGTTCAATTCTCTACTGGATGAGTTTTATGCTTCATTAAGCGCAGCCAAATTTCCAAACATCCAGAAGATGGCACAGAGGATGCTGGTGTTGTTTGGCTCTACCCCTGTGTGACTTTTAGTGTGATGAACACCAACAAAGCACCCCACAGTTCCCAGTTGAGTGATGAGCACCTCAGATCTGTTCTGAGAATTGCCACAACAAAACTAACACCAGATTTCGATGCACTGGCAAAAAAGGGTGATCAACAACACTGTTCCTACTAAAAGTGAATGTAAGTATTAACACTGTAATGCCTTTTATATGTTTATGTTTTAAAAGTCAATGTGGCCCCTGAGCCAAAAAGTTTGCCCACTCCTGTTCTAGAGGGTGGGAGGAGTGTGGCACTAGAGAAGGTCAAAGGGATTTGGTTATACACCAGAAGAAACAAACAGACAAAATCTGACTTGATGAAAACTTATTTCAATAGCTAATATCTTGTGTGGAAATACATTTTTGTACCAGATTTCATTGTAGCCAATATTTATTCATGTGTTTCAGCCTGGACCAAAGTGCAGTGAACGACCAATCAGCAGCATCGTGCTGGCAATATAGAGTACTGTGTAGACATGTATGGCTCCTTTGGAAAATGGAATGATTGGAAGTGCAGTGCTTTGGCCTATTTTGTTTGTTACACCGGTAAGAAGACGGGGGTGAATGGATGTCATCCTTTGACTGTTAAGCTTAAGTGCAATAAATTCACACAAAATCTCCCAGCCATAGTGTCAGATTGTGTTATTTGTCTTTTTCAGAAACAGCTCAAAACAAAAAAACCTACATGTTCATTTCATCTCCGCTAACGTGGGCTGATGCCCAGAGTTACTGCAGACAGCACTACACAGACCTGGCTACGATTGAGAGCTCTGCAGAAAACTCTGCGCTCTACAGCACAATACCAAATGGGGTAAACGTGTGGATTGGTCTGTACCGAAATGCATGGACTTGGTCAGATAACAGCAGCAGTGTGTTCAGAAACTGGAAAAGTGGACAGCCAGATAACTCTAATCTTAATGAGTACTGTGTGAGTGAGGATTCTCAACATCAGTGGTATGACGACAACTGTCAGAACCAATACGCCTTCATCTGTCATGAAGGTGACTCCTTACTCCAACAACAAATCACTAATAATAGTTTTCTAATATTCAGATTTACAGTATCTGTACCTTTGGTTCTTGACTCTGTTTCCTGGATTGTCCAGATCCAGTTGTGAAGACGACTGTTGTGAGGATGAAGATGCAGACTAGTGCTGACATGACAGATCCAGTTATTAACACCCAGCTCCTCCATCAGGTAAAATTCTCTCTCTCTCTCTTTGTCGGGTTCTGGTAAAGTATGAAAATTACAGAAGATGAGAAGAGTTTGCCATTGTAGAAAAGAGTATAGGAAATAGAGCAAAGGTCTGTACTTTTCTTTTATTTCTCTTCAGCTGGAAGCTGCTTTAAAGAGTCAAGGACTGAGTGGCATCAAGCTGCAATGGAAGATTCAGCCTGAAAAACAGGAGAAAGACAAGCTCACAGAACCTCAGTGCATTTCATATTTTTAACATTATTTTGTTTGCAACCTCAAAGTCAGCCTGTGTGCTTCAGTAATTGTAAAGTAAGATGGATGACATGCACATTAAATACAGTTTCTCTTCTTAGTGATCATACAGCTTAATGACTTTGTTGTGTTGTTAATAATGCTGTTTGTGTATCTAATTCAGCTTCATATGATACAGTAGGTGATCACATTATAATGTGAGATGGCCGAGATTTTTCTTGTGTGATGCTCATTGACAACGTTTGCTGTAACCCTGTCTCCTACATATTATGTTTCTATAGAACTACTCTGAGAGCAAATACATTTAGGTGTGAACATAATATTGTTGATTAGCATGCTAAGTCACTTACAAAAGTTCATGCTGAAGAGTCACATCATCAGTTTCATTAGTTTTTCACCAAAATCTGAAATCTCACAATACAATATCCACTCCTAGTGAAACTCATTCATGGATATGTTCAGGCATTCACACCACTTGGTTAAGTTAGGGAATGGTTGTGGTCTGGTTTAAGATGGAAAATGTTCACAGTGACTTGAAACACAACATGTTTATTAAAGTCAAGATCAACCAGAGCCCACAACACATGGGTTAAATTCCAAATGCATTGACAAAACATTAGACTATTCATTTCATGGCGTGACAAACATCATAAGCTGAAAAAAACAGAGAAAAAAATCATCTGGACTTGGCTTTAGTTAGAAGACGTTTCACCTCTCATCCAAGAGGCTTCATCAGTTCTGTTCAACTGGTGTCCAGTATCGGTGAGCATCATTACCTGTATCTGAACCCTCACATGTGGACCGATGCCTATTGTCCTGGTGTGAACTAGGGTGGGAATGTTTGGGCAGAGATTTCAATACAGAGTTGTAGATGTGTGGCAAGTTGTCTTAGTCCACCACCCCTATTTAGCAAGGGGTGTGCTATTTGGACAAAAATAGCTTCCTTGACTTCTCTCTCAAACCAGCGATGTTCTCTGGAGAGGATCTGGACTTCACTGTCTTTGAAAGAATGTCCTTTGTCCTTCAGGTGGAGGTGGACTGCTGACTCTGGTCCACTGGGGGAGGCCATCCCTTGCCCTTATGGCCTTCCCAAAATACACACGGAACGAGCCCCACTCAGACTCACTGTCAGCAGCATCAGAGACTTGCAACATTGCCAAGCACGTGGCCACCATTCTGGCATCTTTGGTGGGAAACACACAGCACCACATAACAAACTCCCAGGACTTTACTAAGAAATAAGATGGCACCAACAGCGATTGCAACCTTGGTTACTCGCGCTCACTTGTGTTTGTTGTTTTTCTTTGTTTTCTCGGTCTTTTGCAACCCATCCCGGATTACTTTTACCAGAGAAGAACTGTTAAATATTGGACAACTCACACCGAACTACCTTTCTCCAATTTTTGTGAATGAAGAGTGCTGTATGGACATTCTGATCAGAGGCGCAGCTGCCATATACGGGACCTGGAAGAAACGCCGGCGTGGCAAACATGCGGGTGCCTTAGTGAGGCTACACCAGGGTCCCGGACTCCATTCTCATCTATCCACCTGGCAAATATCCACTATTGAACAGAGCAAATCTCTCCCACGAACTGCCCAAATACAGACAGCACGTCACCTGTCCCACCAGGGACAAAATAACACTGGACCACTGCTACACAACAATAAAAGACACCTATTGCTCTGTCCGCCGCACAGCCCTCGGACACTCTGATCACTGTATGGTCCATCTTATTCCAACCTACAGGCAGAAACTTAAAGCTGCAAAGCCTGTAGTCAAAACAGTGAAGAGCTGGACTGAGGAGGTGTACAAAGAAATTCTTGATACAATGATATAGTACTATGTTATGTATTTGCAAAACTGTTCAAATAACTGTTTAATCTGTTTGACCTTTGGAAAAACTTGACCTATGCATATGAAATGCTTGTGAGGGGGTGAAGTGCAGAGACTCAGAACAACAGGAAGTTGTCCAGATATAGACTGAGATGACTAAAAACTGTCTTCAAGAAAAGTTGTATAAGGTCTTATTGTTTTGGCTTCAGATTATCAACATTTATCAATAGTATAGGAAATGTTTAGCTTTCTATAATCAATATTATAATCTGCATTAGCAAATGTACCTACATGATTATCTCAGTATCATATGCTTTATAATTTCCTTTTGTTTTAACCATTTCACTTGTCTTTAAGAATATAGGAGAC